ATGATACTTTGCATAAGATTTTGCAGTGTGATTTGAAGAGGCATTCATATCTCCAGCGTAGGCAATGCAACCTTAGTTTCTAGACTTTATTCTTCTTTAATTAGTTCTTTTACTCTTAATTTTGTCTGAATATTCATCTTCATGTACTCCATTAATCCGTTCCATTTACTGTAAGTAACTGTTAGTAAGAAATTCTTTATAATGTATTTCACAGGTTTAAAACTTTAGCAATCTCCTCAGGATCAAACTGTCTGTATGACATATATATGAACCACTACAGCATTAGTTCAGTTATAATTTACGTGTGATACACAACAAAAATATACATCAGTTAAAATGTATATCACACACACACACCACACACATAGTGAACACTGATTTATTTTATTATTATTATTATTATTATTTTGGACATCTACGTGTATGTGAGAATATATAAAACATATGATGAGATTGCTTTTAAAAACAAAACTTGAAGCTTCCATAAATATTTTATAGATGGTAATTGATGTAACACTCACAATCATATCTGAAAATATTATGAAAGAAAATAAATGTGTCATAGAAGATAACTTCTTTCAAACTTGTATAAGCTTTTTTTAACGGGAAATTGTGTTTGGTTGGGTTTAGTTATAGAACAAACATTTGTAATATAGAATGAGTAGAAACGATGAAAAAGACAGTTTTACCCTTAATACTGCTTATATAGTTTTAATGTAACTATTAAGTATTTTAATTAGCAGTTGGTGACAAAGGACTCTTGACTACTGTGGTAAAGTCAAGCTCTCAATGAGTGATCAGTCTGGGTGTTTTTGTGCTTGATCTGTCTCTTAGGGTTACTCATATGACAACCAGTGTGACCATCTCTAACATGTTGCTGAACTGTACTATGAATAAGGTGTACAGATTGATCAGTCTTATGGGTTTAGACATGTCTGTGACATGTCACCACATGCTAATCGACTGTGTGGCTTTATGGACGTGATTTAAATCAGAATAAAAAGGAATGATGATAGTCAATGAATACATGACTGGTAAGACTGGTGATTTTTTGTTATGTAATATACAGGAATGTGAGATTACTGTGGAATAAAAGACATAAATAAAACCTTCATGGAGACATTATCACTCACTTACTGAACATGTATCAAAGTATCTATTGAAATTTTCTAGACTGTGGTTATTGCAACAGCCACAGTCACATCGATGAAAACATGGTGGCTAAGAGTTAAATTTATGGGTTTTATTTTTATTTATTATTTTGGTCACATAATGTATGCGAGAATACATGTGTATGTGAGACTGATTGCACATACATAAAGCATTTATGGAAGCTTTATAGACAGTAACTTCATGTGACATGGAAGATCATTGTGTGAAAAAGGTTTTGCAAGAATACAGACCTGTATCAAACAAAAGAATAATTCCTTGATTAATTTTAGAGATATTATGAAAGAGCAAACTGGGTTTGGTTGGTTATCAATTTGTGGCAATAAACTAATCCTTTTTAATGCATACTATGTTTGAAATTATTTAAATAATTCAGTTTTAGCTTCTTTTTGATGTGCAGTAACTGGTAACAAAGGACACTTTACTAACACAACTCTAGGCTCTCACTCAGTGATCAGTCAAGCTGAGAAACACACAGAGGTTTTTGTACAGCATTATTTCACTGTGTGAATGGATACTCTTCACTGTGGCCACAGTGATACTCAGCTTCATCCTCCAGCTGAACACCTGAGATGGTGAAGGTTGTCAGAGCTCCTGTTAGTGTACCACTGAATCTGTCAGGAGTACCAGACCTTCTGCTGGTACTGTCATAAATCAGTTGTTTAGGAGCCTGTCCAGGTTTAAGCTGATATAACTCCATGTCATTGCCAATGTCCCGTGAAGCTCGACAAAGAATCTTCACAGTGTCGTGAGGCTGGACAGAGATGACCAGAGGAGACTGATCTACTGTAATGATTCCCAGAGTAGCTGAGAAAAAAGTAGAATAAATGAACATATATTAATATATTGATTATAGTCAGTAGAGGTGAATACATTTATGTCTATTATATAAACAGAAAGCAGACTTTAAAGTAATCTTACCCTGACACCAGAGAGCTGAGAGAAAGAGTGAGATGGTAAATGATGAACACATTGTTCAGTTGTTGTAGACTGGATTGGCAGTTTGAATGCTCGGTGTTTAGAGCAGTGTGGAGACCCTTTAAAGGAGAAGGAAATGAAAGTGTATGTAAATAAACTCAGCAGATGCACTCAGCTCAGATCTGTGGGCTTAGACAATATTATTTTATTATTATTATCTATTATATGTTTTATTGTAACTTTTTAAAATCATGTTTGTTTTCAAGTACTGGACTCTTCTGAATCATGCTTCTATTTCAGAATTCTGCTCATTATCACAGAGTTCCTGCTTTTCGGGTAATTTTGGACAAAATGTAATCACAATACTGAGGGTCTTCAGGAGACCCGAATACCTCAAATATGGTCAATGCTGCCATAGTAAAGCGGTATACATGCTTTTGCTTCAGTCTCAGGTTTATCTGAAAGTTTGTCCCTGTGCACTTCATTCCTCAGTGCTTATTGTTTTGTAGTTTAATATTTAATAAGGTCTGAGTTCAATAATGTTCTTCTCAGAATCAAAATATCAAAGTTCCTGAAATCTCCTTAAACACTGCATCCCCAGTTCAGCTATGATTCACATAGCACAAACAAACATAGTGGAAATGTTTAACATTGTTTAAACAAGGTTTAAAATTTTGCTGAAGTAAAGTAAGAATGAGGAGTGGTGTAAACAGCCCATGTGATGATGCATGCTTCCTTTTTACACCGTTTGGTGTAGATGTCCTTAACAGCATGGAAGCCTGACCCAGTAATGGACTAGGCAGTCTTCACTACCTGCTGCAGTGTTTTCCTGCCAGAGATGTTTCCATACCAGACAGTAATGCTGCAGATCAGGATGTTCTCTATGTTCTCTAAGCTTTGGTAGAAGAAGTGGAGGATGGGTGTGCGCAGACCAGGCCTTTTCAGTCTCTCAGGAAGCAGAGGAGCTGTTGTGCCTTTTTTGCTGAGGAGGAGGTGTTCAGGGCTCAGGAGAGATTGGCACTGATGTGCACCCCCAGGAAGTTGAAGCTGTGCACTATCTACACAGCTGTACCACAGATGTGCAGAGGGGTGTAAGGTGTCTGTGTCCTTCTGAAGTCCACAATCATCTCTTTTGTCTTGGTGACATTCAGAGATTGTTGTCCTTGCACCAGAACTCCTCACTTCCTCTCTGCAGGCTGTCTTATTGTTGTTGGAGATGAGCCCCACGACTGTAATGTCATCAGCAAACTTGATATTGCAGTCATGGATAAGCAGGCTGTACAGCAGCAGACTCAGACACAGCCATGGGGGCTCCGGTGTTCAGAGTGACTGAGTGGGACAGACAATTCTAGATCCTTAGACGCTACAGTCATTATTCTATTTTTTAGAAAAACATTTATAATTCTATTTTTTAGAAAAAAAAACATTTTTACTGTAATTGTTTAAACCCAGTGGTCACATAGGACAATCCATTAAATGACCAGAAATCAAACTCATTCACAAACAGTGGACTCTTTCATACTTACTGGCTCCACATCACAATTCTGTTCAGTGGTGAACCATCATCAGTGTTCCTGCCTTTCTAGTAACTACAGACCAAATGCAAATATGATTCTGTGGATAAGATTTTGCACTGTATCTTCAGGAGGCATGAAAACTTCCAACGTGGGCAATGCAATCTTAGAAATGTTCTTCTTTAATGATATGAATTTGTCTTCATCCACTTTATTCCTAAATATTCTGTCCTATTAAGTGTTAGTAACAGTAATTAAAAGTATTTATTGCTGTCTGATGTTTTAACAGTTTCAAAAGCCCAAGTTCATTAAGTTTCTAATCTTCAGGATCAGTCTGTTCCTCATCACCAGGGGTGCTCCTGAACCACTACAGCATTAGTATTTGCATGTGATGCACATCTAAACTATAGTAAACATGACCACACCTAACATATTGCTGAACTCAACTATGATTAAGGTCCACAGATCAAGCAGTTTTATGGGTTTAGACATGTCTGTAACATGTAAACATGCTGAAATGAGTGTGTGACTTTATGGAAATGATTCAACGCCAAACTAAAAGGATTGGTGATGGTTAATGAATGCTCGTGAAGACTGGTGAGATTACTCCAGAAAAAATTAGACAAACAAAACTTTTCTGAGATCATTATCATTCACTTCATATCAGACCGTGAATATTTAGACTGTGATTCTTTCTAACAGCCACAGTCTCCATTTGTGGAAGGAAAAGTGCATTTAGTCTTCAGAGGAAAAGAGTTCCCTCAGACATATTGTATCAAAAATATTATTTAGTCAGAATGAAGACACAAAGTTGTTCACTAGAGTTTAACTGGCTAGTTAGCAATAGTGTGACAGGCTATCTACAGAGATTGTTAGCTAGAATTAGACAACATTCTTGGTGGAGATGAGTTGATTGAGTTTTGCAGCTTAGCAGAGTGATCTAAACTATCATGTCTAACAATAATTTTCACTTACCACTTAAATTTGATTGCTATTTCCATTGCTTAGTTTAAATTGTTATTTTTATTATTGTTGCTACAACAACAACAACAACACACCATTAAAAGAATGCATATCATATAGTTTTGCTATTAATATACTAACAATAACTAATTAATGGATAAAATTAACATTTGTAGTGGTTCTATTTTTGTCATTTGTCATATCTTATTAAAATGAAGTAGAATCATTAAGACAAAAATAGACAGAGGTCTCAAATTCATTTTAAAACTTTAATTTAAAATATTTTAGAAAAAAGTAAAAAAATATATATTTGACATGTAAATTATACTTTATATAAAAGCTAGATGCAATATTCACCAGGGGGGCTTCTTACTCTAGTTAGGGACTAGAACAATGTTTTGTTTAATTTATTACGAAAAATATTATGAGGGAAGGAATTGGTTGGCTTAAGCCCAAGGCAAAAATATAGAATGATGATAAATAATTGTTTTAACTGTTTAAATAATTGTTTGTTTAAGTGATATAGGTAACACCTTTGCTGTATGGTAACAAAGTAACTAACATAACACCAGGCTCTCATCGAGTGATCAGTCAAGCTGAGAAACACAGAGGTTTTTGTACAGCATTATTTCACTGTGTGACTGGATATTCCTCACTGTGGGCACAGTGATACTCAGCTTCATCCTCCAGCTGAACACCTGAGATGGTGAAGGTTGTCAGAGCTGCTGTATATGTGCCACTGAATCTGTCAGGAACACCAGACATTCTGCTAGTACTGTCGTGAATCAAATGTTTAGGAGCCTGTCCAGGTTTAAGCTGATACAGCTCCATGTCAGCATAAATGTCCTGTGAAGCTCGACAAAGAATCTTCACAGTGTCGTGAGGCTGGACGGAGATGACCGGAGGAGACTGATCTACTGTGATGATCCCCAGAGAAACTGAGAGAAGCAGATTAAATGAATATAAGAAAGTAATGCAGGTGCCTTATATTCAGAACTTTAGAGAATGCACACCAAGTCATTAGCAGTGCTAATCCATTTGTCTCTATTATACAAACAGAAAGCAGACTGTAAAGTAATCTTACCCTGACTCCAGAGAGCTGAGAGAAAGAGTGAGATGGTGAATGATGAGCACATTGTTCAGTTGTTGTAGACTGGAGTGGCAGTTTGAATGCTCGGTGTTAAGAGCAGTGTGGAGACGAGCTTTAAAAGAGAAGGAAATGAAAGTGTATGTAAATACTCTCAGCAGATGCACTCAGACCAACTCTGTGGGCTTAGACAGTCAAGGTCAAGGGAGGGTGAAGATATTCTTACCCCTGGAGGAATAACATAGATAAAACACCAAAAGACACACAACTGTAGGACAATACAGCTGACACCACAATGGGCAAACCATTTTGGAGCATAGAAAGGACATATACTTTTTTTTCAGCGTTGAAGGACCTTAGACTAATCAGTCTTATGGGATCAGATTTGCCACCAACATGTGACTATTTGATGACATTATATGGAAATGTCACAAGTGTGGCCTAAAGAAGGATTTAATGAAAGTTGGACAATAATATTGAAGAATATTTTTTTTCATATCTAATTTACGTGTATGTGAGAATATAAAAGATGAGATGTGATTGCTTATGCAAAGAAAGCTGGTTTCTGACAGGGACGTATCCAGTGAGTGGTAAGGGGTAGCCAGTGCCACTATACTGTGAAGTTTGACCACCCCAGTGAAACAAAGTGAGGAAGTCAGCCATCATCAACAAAACAGTCACCAGGGAAAGGTTACCCTACCTACCCTCTGTGGAAAGTTATGCTTACAGTGAAAATCTGTCATCAGGGCGCTTAGCAATCACTTGAAAAGTCTGATCACGCTGCACTCAATAACAAGTAGAGTTCACTGTGATAAACTGCTTCACTGGACAGACAGACAAGGCCAAAATCTTAATGCTGATCTTGTCCATTTTGCTTGATATTGATTTTAATATTGTTTAATATTTTGCTGAAATTGAACATGTATCATAGAAAGATTAACTTACTGGTTATTATTAAAGATATTATAAAAAGGAGGAAATTAGTTGGCTTTAGACTTTGGGTTTCATCCACCTGCTGAGCACCTGAGATGTTGTCAGATCTCCTGTTACTGAGCTACTGAATCTGTCAGGAGTCCCTGACATTCTGCTGTAAATTACGTCATATCATGTACATGTCATAACCCATGTCCTGTGAAACTCAACAAACATTCTTCGCAGTGTCATGAGACTGGACAGAGATGACCGGAGGAGACTGATCTACTGTGATGATACCCAGAGAAGCTCAGAGAAAAAAACAGAATGAATTAATATACGAAGGTAATGTGCTGAGTTATAATTAGAACTTTTGGGAATGCACACATAATGAAAACGCTCATCTCTATTATACAAACAGAAAGTAGACTTTAAACTTACCATGACTCCAGTGAGCTGAGAGAAAGAGGGTACATGTTGAACACATTGTTCACAGTTTAAGGTCCACAGACTGATCAGTCTTATGGGTTTAGACACATCTGGAACATGTAAATGTGCTAAAATTACATGTGTCAGGTAAAAGATTAATTCTTTGGTTATTAATAAACATTTTATGATAAAGAAAATTGTGCTTGGTTGGTTTTAAATATGTGGGTCAAAAACAACAACAACAACAAAATGAATTACAAAGTTATAGTTTAATCCTTAATATTATTTGAATAGTAGTTTTTACTTTTTAATGCACAGTAACTGGTAACAAAGGTCACTTTACTAACACAACTCTAGGCTCTCACTCAGTGATCAGTCAAGCTGAGAAACACACAGAGGTTTTTGTACAGCATTGTTTCACTGGGTGAATGGAAGCTCTTCACTGTGGCCACAGTGATACTCAGCTTCATCCTCCAGCTGAACACCTGAGATGGTGAAGGTTGTCAGAGCTCCTGTTAGTGTACCACTGAATCTGTCAGGAGTACCAGACCTTCTGCTGGTACTGTCATAAATCAGTTAGGAGCCTGTCCAGGTTTAAGCTGATATAACTCCATGTCATTGCCAATGTCCCGTGAAGCTCGACAAAGAATCTTCACAGTGTCGTGAGGCTGGACGGAGATGACTGGAGGAGACTGATCTACTGTAATGATCCCCAGAGTAGCTGAGAAAAAAGTAGAATAAATGAACATATATTAATATATTGATTATAGTCAGTAGAGGTGAATACATTTATGTCTATTATATAAACAGAAAGCAGACTTTAAAGTAATCTTACCCTGACACCAGAGAGCTGAGAGAAAGAGTGAGATGGTAAATGATGAGCACATTGTTCAGTTGTTGTAGACTGGATTGGCAGTTTGAATGCTCGGTGTTTAGAGCAGTGTGGATATGAGCTTTAAAGGAGAATGCACTCAGATCAGCTCTGTGGGCTCAGACAATATTATTTTATTATTTTCTATTTTATTTTTTATTGTAACTTTTTAAAATCATGTTTGTTTTCAAATACTGGACTCTTCTGAATCATGCTTCTATTTCAGAATTCTGACATCACAGATTTCCTGCTTTTTGGGTAATTTTGTACAAAATGTAATCACAATGCTGAGGGTCTTCAGGAGACCTTAATACCTCAAACATGGGCAATGCAACCGTAGTAAAGCAATATATATGCTTTTGCTTGAGTCTCAGGTTTGTCTGAAAGTTTGTCCCTGTGCACTTCATTCCTCAGTGCTTACTGTATTGTAGTTTAATATTTAATAAGGTCTGAGTTCAATAATGTTCTTCTCAGAATCAAAATATCAAAGTTCCTGAAATCTCCTTAAACACTGCATCCCCAGTTCAGCTATGATTCACATAGCACAAACAAACATAGTGGAAATGTTAAACCACATTTAAAATGTTGCTGAAGTAAAATAAGAATGGCAAGGTGATGAAGGACCTCAGACTAATCAGTCTTATGGGGTCAGATCTGCCACCAACAGCTGGACAACAATATTGAAGGCTGTTTGTTTTTTCACTTGATTTACATGTATGTGAAACTATTTGAAACACAAGATGTGGTTGCTTATAACAACAAAATTGGGAGATTGTCTTTGGTTGGATTTAGTTCTGATAAAAAAGGACGCTTGACTGGGTGTCTCTTTGCTTGATCTGTCTCTTAAGGTTACTCATATGACAACCAGTGCGTGCTTCTGCATTAAGACTTTCCTCACAGTTAAAACATTACAAAATGTTATGCTTGTAGTTTGCATTAAAAAGGACTGGTTCTATTGCTCACAGATTCATTTATCTTAAATACATAACAAATTGTGTTAAATTTATTGACACTTTAGCTTTTATTTCTCTTAGATACACCATGAAATGAAGGATTCTTATTTCAAAGTCAAAGTCAGGTTAACTGTCATTTATTCTCATCACAGATGTGTTGAGAGAGGAATGAAATGTAGCTTCTCCAGGACACTGTGCCTCATTTAACATAGAACAGCAAGCAGCAAAAAACATTGCAAAAAAAAAAACAAAAAAAAAAACAATAAATACAATACAGACAAACTCTACAGCAGCAATAGTTGTGCATCTATTTTTATCAGTGCACTGATCATGAACATTAGTACTTTAGTAGCAGAATCACAAAGATTTACAAAACTGCAATGACAATGTACCGATTACTATGACTGTGCATATAAAGTGAGTGAGGTTAAAGTTACACAGTAAAGTAGAGTGCAGAAGGTAAAGTGCAATAGATGAAAGTGAGTAGTATGGGTGAGGTAGCAGTTCAATGAGAATGTTTAAAGGTCCTCCTGAACCACTACAGCATTAGTATTTGTATGTGATGCACAGCTAAAATATCGTAAAGATGACCACACCCAACATGTTGCTGAACTCAACTATGATTAAGGTCCACAGATTAAGCAGTTTTATGGGTTTAGACATGTCTGTAACATGTAAACATACTAGAATGAGTGTGTGACTTTATGGAAATGATTCAATTAAAAGGATTGGTGAACGTTGATGAACACTCGTAAAGACTGGTGAGATTACTGCAGAAGACAAACAAAACTTTTCTGGGATCATTATATTTCACTTCATATCAGATTATCCAGACCGTGAATATCTAGACTGTGATTCTTTCTAACAGCCACAGTCTCCATGTGTAGAAGGAAAAGTGCATTTAGTCTTCAGAGGAAAAAAAAAGATTTTTGTTTTCTATTAAAGTGAAAGTGTAAATTTAGACCTGTAAGTAGTCTAACCAGGCATGTTGTACCAAAAATATTATTTAGTCAGAATGAAATTTGCAAGCAAGCAAACTTTATTTATATAGCGCTTTTTACAACAGGTCTTGTCACAAAGCAGCTTTACAAAGAAATCAGCATTACAGAAAGAAATCCGGGTCCAAGCCCCCATGAGCAAGCCAGTGGCGACAGTGGCAAGGAAAAACTCCCTAAGAGAAACAGGAAGAAACCTTGAGAGGAACCAAGACTCAGAAGGGGAACCCATCCTCCTCAGATTGACACCGGATAGTAAACATTGTTAGTATAAAGTATTATAGTACAAAAACAGGGAAAACAGGTGGAGCAAATTATTAATTTGATTAGTTTAGTTCATGCAGCAGCAGCAGCAGCATCAGTGGGGTCAGGTTGTGAGGGTGAGGTTGCACGGCGTTGTACAGCATGAAGCTCAAAGCTGGTCAAGCCGGTCCAGAGGGCTGGCAGCAGTAGCACCCGATCAAGGCAGAAGAGGCAGCAGCATCAGACGCACAGGATGGGCAGCTGTTCAACTCGGTAAAGAAAAGAAAGAAAGGAAAAACACACAGAGAGTCAGTTCTGTAATGGGTGACCGATCACAGATTACAGTGTTAGCAGAGCAGCAGAGACTCTGGCAGGTATAGAACCGACAGGGAAAACTAATTACCAAAGGCTTGACTATACAAGTAAGTTTTTAGCATAGACTTAAAGACTGAGGCTGCGCCTGAGTCCCGAACATTAACAGGATTGTTAGCTAGAATTAGGCAACATTCAGTCGTCTTGGTGGAGATGAGTTGAGTGAGTTTTGCAGCTTAACAGAGTGATCTAAACTATCATGCCTAGCAATCATTTTCACTTGCCAATTAAATTTGATTGCTATTTCCATTGCTTAAATTGTTATTCTTAGTATTGTTGCTATAACAACAACAACAACAACAACAATAATAATAACACCACCATTAAAGGAACACACATCATATATTTTTGCTATTAATATACTCACAATAACTAATTAATGAATAGAATTACATTGCTAGTGGTTCTATTTTCTGTCATTTGTCATATTAAATTAAGGACTTAAAATTATACTTTCTATAAATGCTAGATGCAATATTCACCAGGGGGGCTTCTTACTTCAGTTAGGGACTAGAAGCTAGATATAACTAGATATAACTAGAAGTAAGCTATTATGAAGGAGGGAATTGGTTGGCTTTAGGCCCTGGGCTAAAAATAAAGAATGATGATAAATAATTATTTTCGGTGTTTAAATAATTGTTTAAGTAATATAGGTAACTCCTTTGATATATACACTGTAAAAAGTGTCTTGTCAGATCTACGTAAAAAAAAATACTTCATGTGGTAGCAAGCAATTGAACTAGTCTTATTCAACTTAAAAAAAATACACTGAAAGAATTAATTATAAGTATTTATTTAGGTTGAATAAAACTAGTTAATCTACTTGTAACCACATGAAGTAAATTTAAGTAGATCTGATGAGCCTCTTTTTACAGTGTAGTAATAAAGTACCTAACATAACACCAGGTTCTCATTGTGTGATCAGTGAACCTGAGAAACACACAGAGGTTTTTGAACAGTGTTCACTGTGTGACTGGAAGCTCTTCACTGTGGGCACAGTGATACTCAGCTTCATCCTCCAGCTGAACACCTGAGATGGTGAAGGTTGTCAGAGCTGCTGTATATGTGCCACTGAATCTGTCAGGAACACCAGACATTCTGCTAGTACTGTCGTGAATCAGATGTTTAGGAGCCTGTCCAGGTTTAAGCTGATACAGCTCCATGTCATCATGAATGTCCTGTGAAGCTCGACAAAGAATCTTCACAGTGTCGTGAGGCTGGACGGAGATGACCGGAGGAGACTGATCTACTGTGATGATCCCCAGAGAAACTGAGAGAAAAAGCAGAATAAGTAAATATGTGAACGTAATGCAGGTCAGTTAGAACTTTACAGAATGCACAGCAAGTCATTAGCAGCGATAATTAATTTGTCTCGATAGTACAAACACAAGTAGACTTTAAAGTAATCTTACCCTGACTCCAGAGAGCTGAGAGGAAGAGTGAGATAGTAAATGATGAACACATTGTTCAGTTGTTGTAGACTGGACTGGCAGTTTGAATGCTCGGTGTTTAGAGCAGTGTGGAGATGAGCTTTAAAGGAGAAGGAAATGAAAGTGTACGTAAATAAACTCAGCAGATGCACTCAGCTCAGCTCTGTGGGCTCAGACATTACTGTTATATTATTCTTTTTTGTGGTAATTATTTTAATACCTTTTGAAAACCCAGTGGCCACACAGAACATATGAATTCTAAAACAGGTTTATTTAAACAAAATAAATAACCAAAAATTATCTCTGAATAAAAATAAAATAGTGGACTCCAGAGTGTCCACTTCCTGTTTATGACCGGACAAAATGCAAGCACAATGTTGTGGATAATATGCTTTATGAAGTTACTGTTGGTGCATGATAGTAATGAAACGTAACCTATTTGCCTTTTCTCAGGATCATTGGAGATTTCTTCTTTATGTTTCTCTACTCATCATTTAGGGTTACTCATATGACAACCAGTGCTTGCATTGACACATTCCCTATGGTTGTGTCTGAAGCATTACCTAAATGTTAGTGTCTTGATATCTAAAATTATGCTTTACACTTTAGCTGTTGGAGTCAGTTATGTGCTTAGAAATGGACACAGCACCTGAACAACAATCACATCTAAAAGACAATCATAAACGAAAATCTGTGAATAATGATGCAAAACTCACTATTGAAAATACAACAATTTGTCATTAATCTTAACTCAAGAAGTTTCCTCCACCACATTACACTGAACCTTTTTGTTGAATTTAATCAAAAAATGCTTGAGTAAATCAACGGCATTATTACTTTGGTTTTATACGTAAGCATCTGATGAAGACTATGCAAGTCAGTGTCTGTGTCCTTCCTTTCAGATCAATTGTTAAGGAATAATAAGACACTGGTATAATACACAAAAAAGACGCACTCTGACGCTGCAAATTCTGATATAATAATGTAAAGCAGTTATGCTTTCTAACAAACACTAGCCTATTTAAAATGTATCATATCGTAATCCACAGACTGACTCATTTATGGAAGTAAGGTCTCTTTAATTTCATTTTAACTTAACTGTGCTGTTCAGCACCGGATTTCTGTGTCAGTGATTGTGAGATTGTGAAATGTTTCAGTTCTGTGATGTTACCGGTCATGCAAATCTTTTAGGGTATACTTTCACACAGTCTTGAGGGAAAACACACACAGCAGGTGTCTTTCGCTCTCGCTCACTTTCCCCTGTCCGTTAGGCCAGTTTTGAAAATGATATGTAAGCTATTTATCTTTATAAGTGTTTATTTGTTAAAAAACCAATACAAAAAAACCCCAAAAACCATTAACCATTTCCAGACCTCTTCTTAAGGAAGTCCAGTATTTACAGTTACCATCCAGTGCCTACTTTAGCTAATCAGTCCTTCATTAAATTACATCAGGTGTGCTGCTGATCTCTGTATTCTGATAATGAAGATATTAACATTTCTGAAAACAAGAAATTCTATTTTACATTCTACTGTTTGTTTTTCGTAATTCTTTAATTCTCATTTTATATAGGTTTTTCTATACTTACTACCAAAACAAGTAGTTCTAAACACTTTTCAGGGCTTGTCTAAGACTTTAGCATAGTACTGTATGCAGTTGTATTTTTTATTAATTGTGCATCCTCTAAATCAACACATAACAACTGCACTGCAGTTGTAAGACTTCTGGCTGAAAACAAACAACTGTAATTTACATGTAATTAAGTAAAAGCCTGATGGAGCCTATGGTTTCCTGAATATGTATAAATAATAATCTTTTTACTTCTATACAAGCAAATTTTTGAAGGGGGAATAATGTACTTTTTACTCAGCCCTATGTTAACCATTCACATAGCATTACAAGAGTTCTTTTTCTGGGGGGTTCATTTCATTCTGTCTTGTTGGTTCAGTGTCTGGACTGCTTTGCTGTTTCTTTTATAGTAAAAGTATGATGTTTAAGTAACAAGATTTTTACATGAGTAAGAGTGATGTCTGCTTTACTTTAAGTCTTTTAATCAATGGCATTTGTTTGGAATATCACCGAGCAGTGTTTCCCAGCTGTGCTACTGGAGAAGTCCTGTACTGAACATTATAGCAGACATATTACAGCAGGTGTGCTCTCAACGCACCTGAATCAACTCATCAGCTAATAAACAATTCATAACTGTGTTTTGTGCAGGAGCAGGATTATCAAACTACACTGAAATGCAACAGCACCATCGTGTGGATAGCACCAGTAAACATTAATGCGTGGATTTTTTCACACTCAATCCGGTTCTCAGGGACCCCCAGAGGGTCCATATTTTTGCTTGATCCAAATTTATCCAGTAAATTATTTTTTCCCCTGAAGTCTAACCATTACAGTTGTGTGGTTTTATGAACCAAAACTGTTCAATCAATTCTTTTTTACATAGACCTTTTTTCAATCTTTTTTATTTTTACAGACTCAGACTGTTTTTGCTACTGTGCTTTTAGGACTGTTATATGTAAATTAGTCTGTTCTGATTGGCCACCCTGTATTGCCTCATTCAAAAACCCGGCTAAACATTCATTCTTCATTGTTCAGCTGTGCCATCATGTGTCCGAATTCACAATATAGGGTACTGTGATAGCGGCTCAAGCTTTTTGGGGGCTCTAAGCAGGATTTTTTTTTATTTGGGGGAGGGGGTGGGGGCAGCTCGCTAGCTGATTTACTTTTAATTAAAAGCTAACTAATACCAATACCAATGACTACCACAAACTGTCTAAATTAGCTTTTTTTTTTTCATTTTAAATACTACTCACTACATATTTTGGTAATCTAATCTATCTCTTTTCCCTGTTTTGGTGACTTCTCTCCATGTTTCAAGCAATTGGATGTTCACTATAAATGTCATGCAGGACCGTACAGAGACTCTCAGAAGGGCAGGTGCTCAAAGTTAAAAGGGGATACATGTACCATAATAATAACACCAAATACAACATAACTCTTTAGCTAAAGCAAAAACCAATATTGGACATACAAACCTTACATCACACCATACACACCATTAAACTGGCTTTTATCAAAATAATGTTATTATAACTATTTCAAAATAGCATCAGTCAACCTTCAAATGTAAATAACACTATTGTCCAATACAAATACCATAATATCTTGATAGTTAACAGTAACCCAAGTTTTACTTTCACAGGAACAGTGTATAATTCTGATGGCTTAATCTTGATGCTCATGCAGCTGCCAGACAATAAAGTTTGATAATTAAGCTATAGGGAACACATGGAGCTGATGGGTTAACTGAGTTAAACCTGCTACCACAAGACTATAAACAAAAAGTATTTCCAAAAGGGACAATGAGAAAAATCCCATAAAGTAGTCTGCTCTCAATGTAATTTCTGCTGGTCTACTAGCTTCAGCTAATTAACTATGTATTTACTGAAGTAAAGCCAGTGCTGTAAGAGTCATTAATAGGTTACATTAATAATCATTTAAAATAAAATGATTCCTATGGTTCAGCAAAGACTAACATTTCTAGGACACCAGCTAAAATTACACAGGTTCAAAATCTGCAACAAACTTTATGAAGGATTATTTTCATAAACACAGATTATTATTCAGTCAAACTAGCTCATATGATCAACTAACCAGCAAATGAAATGGCTCACCTTAGAGCAGACACTGTCACTGTTATGAGTGTTCAGCTGAAGGAAATGTTAACCTCACAGATTAATCCAGACATGATGTTTTACTTTTGCTTTTTCTTAAAAAATGCATAGAAAACAGCAACCTTAGTTTGTCAGGCTACCTGGTACAGGCACATCTTATCACCATATCTGGAGTTTTACATTCAAAATTTGCTACGCTGGCTGAACTGAAGATTTGACTGAAGTGATGGCAGATAGAAACGTTTGCTAAGCGGTGATTGTCAGGCTAATAAAATGAGCCGGGGCTTGAGAGCGGTCTGCCAAAGACATGAACAGCTAGACATGCAGTAATCATGCTAAAAGATGCTAAGATGTGTGAAACTTAGATCCACATCCTTTTAGCTCTGTTTTTGTATTAAATTATTAGTCATTAAGGGCCAAATAGGCACATACTCCACCACACACAACACAACATAACAGTACAGTAATAATTCAGAAGTTGTTAGGGGGCCCCCTGGTGGCTGCAGGGCCCTAAGCAGTTACTTAT